TAATCCATGAAATGGATAATCACATAAATAATTAAAAAAAAAAACTCACAACTGTCAAGCTGCTTAAAAAAGAAGTCTTTTCAGTCATTATTACCAGAGAAAAATGTTACAATAATTGTTGGAATAACAGCAGGGACAAGGATATACCATAGTAGCTACTCAAATTGCCTTGGGAAAAAAATCATTACTTTTGAATTTGTTTGAATTGAACTTATACAATAGCACCTATGAAGTCACAGATAGCTAGCTATTTCCAAATATCTGATACTTTGAATTATTAACTAACAATGAAATAATCATATCCAACCTAATCAGCTCTTTTAAAATATATTGGTCAGATTTATTTCAGATATTTACCAAGTTATCTCAGACGTTGTGTTTAATTATAAAATTACTGTATTCTTAACTTTGTTAGACGTATGTATTGTGTCTGAGTGATCAAATAAAAGTTGAAATAAAAGTTGAAAGTTATAATTCAAAACATTCATACTTCTGGAAAATCACTTATTTTTTATAATTTTAAATATCAAAATGTCATCTTTCAAAGACTATGCCATGAAGGGGAGATAATTCATAACTAATTTATAAAAACCCACGAAAAATTATGACTATAGCTATCAATGACATCATAGTTTACCAGGTATTTCATGCGCTTATGCTTATTATATATTTTTTTAAAGGCTCTGCTGAAACAAGCACACTGTAATTGTGGCTTGTTCATCAAATGAAAGCTAACAAATATTACAGAATTTGTTCCTTACAGCATAAAGGGTACAGAATATTTTTTTCCAACAGGAACAGGTATAATGACATTGTTTAAAACCAAGTATCCTGGGGAACTCCTGTTAGGAGCAACAAATATATGTTGACATAATAACATCAAAGTAAGGATCAGAAACTATACCCCTGAATAATTGAAGAATTAGACAAAAAAACTTATTCAGAAAATTCTTTTATATATCATTTTTTTCAGCAACAGACTGCTTAGAAAATTCAAGGGTTAAAGGTTACAGCATATAAATACATACGACAATCTTCTTCATCAGAATTATCACCACAATCATCATCTCCATCACATCGCCAGATCTTCATCGCACAGCGGTCATTTCTACAGCGGAATTCATTGGGTTCACATATTGCAGATACTGAAATGATAATACCTCTTTTGAAAGATATTCATGAAAATAGTAAGATACATCAAAATTCCTTGAATCAAAGACTCTATAATTTGAAATACTATAGAAGATGAACACCATTTCTTTTTCAACTGTAAACTAAATTACATCCTCATAGCTACATTATGGAATATTTTTACATTGGCTGGAGTAAAATTTGTGTGATTTTGCAGTCATTAAAAAACCAATAATTTTACCAGTACCGTATTCAGCACTTATGTATTGAGATGAATCAACATTGATATGGTAATATGAATAAATAAACTGTTTACAAAACTTTGACTTGTTCTAAATACAAGGGATTTTCCACCTCAGGAGTAGATATCCTTTAGCTGTATTTGGCAATTAAAACCTTTCAGAGTTTTTGGTTCTTAATGTTATCAACTTCATACTTTTTCTGGCCCTTTAACTTTTTTGATTCCAGTGTCACTGATGAGCCTTTAGTAGACCAAACACATGTCTGGCGTACAAAATTATAAGCCTAGTATCTTCAATGATTTTTTTTTCACTATTGTTTACACAATAGATATGTACATACAGTAAAAGTAAAATTTGCTTAGACATCACCCGTATTCAGCAAAAACCAGTGTAATAAGACCTTTAATTTTAGACCCGTTTGTAGTGCATTTCATATAGATTCAACCTATATCAAAAGACCACCTGGCTTATGAGACCACTTTTTTGCTCTCTGTTAAGTGGTCTCTACAAACAGATTTCACTGTACCTGTGAGACCACTTTTTTGCTCTCCCTTAAGTGGTCTCTTAAAACAGGTTTCACTGTACCTGTGAGACCACTTTTTTTCTCTCCCTTAAGTGGTCTCTTAAAACAGATTTCACTGTACCTGTGAGACCACTTTTTTGCTCTCAGTCAAGTGGTCTCTACAAACAGATTTCACTGTACCTGTGAGACCACTTTTTAGCTCCCCCTTAAGTGGTCTCTTGAACCAGGTTTCACTGTACTTGTGAGACCACTTTTTTGCTCTCCCTTAAGTGATCTCTTAAACCAGGTTTCACTGTACCTGTACATGAGTCTTCATCACTGTTGTCGTCACAGTCCTTGTCACCATCACAACGATAGTCTATTGGGATACATTGTCCATTTCTACATGTTGCTTGTCCAACGCCACAAGGACCAACTGGTGGAGGCGTTGTGGGTACAGTAACTAAAATAGATTAAAGTATATATATCATTGTAAGACAAGAGCTTCAACAAATTCCAAGGTTCCATTGAAAGCTATTTTATCATGAACTTCAACCTATTTTCTAAGTACCATTGTAAGCCTTTCTAGGTACCATTGTAAGCATATATTGTTTCCAGTGTGTAGAACTTTCAGTAGGTTAATGAATTACACTAGTGTATTGGTTCTTCACACTAGTGTGGTCATTCTTTTTGAAATGAAACCTAAGGGAAAATGTAATGTGTCAAGGAATTTAACACTAGTGTATTTCTTCCAAAACTAAAGATTACAGTGCAGGAAAATATTCCCTGTTACAACATCACTTTCCATAATAAACCACATGTCTGATTTTTCATGATAATGATAAATCCCTATTCCTCCCCTCTCCTAATCCTTACCATCAGATACTTGTTTCTTACTTTAGACTCTCAAATTTTACGTAAGTTATACATTGTATATAACCCTCTCTCATGCCCCAATTCCCAATACAATTAAATATAAAATTTATTGAATCCACAGTATATTACTGGGAATTTCCCCTATTTCCCTGAATTGTTGAATTATGTACTCACTTTGTCTTACTATGAGTCTGGCCGATTCTGTGTACGTCCTGTCGTTGTAGATACCAGAGCAGATATAATCTCCAGCATCTGTGATATCAAGGTTAGGTATGATGAGACGTCCTCTCTCTACAGTAGCTTTAGGTTGTATATCCTACAAAAAAAGAGAGAAATTCTCATGATTTTTTGGATTATCAATTGTTCATCAACCTTCTACATTCTTCATGAAAGGGGATAGCCATGCGTTGAGATGTAGTCTAAAAACTTTCTCAAATTTGAAGGTCCATTTATAATATCTATAACCTGTTTCCATCTATTTTCCTTGACAATGTCTGACTCCATACATTCTCTTTAATCTTGGCTGAAAAAAACTAACATCAATTGAGTAGTCTAAGAAGGAAAATGATCATACAGAAAGTTCAAAGAAAAATTTGAGAAAAAAGTCATAGAATAAAAATGTATTCAAAATGTCAAATTTTTAAATTAGGTATAGTTCTGAAATTGGAAATGAGGATTGCTCTTTAAATTCTGCGATAATATATAAAAGAGACACTTACAATATTTCCATTTCTGTACCATTCCAACGGTGTGTCTGCTGGGGATATAGCACAATCAAAATATGCCTGGGATCCTACTCTCAATGTCAGCTCTCTGGGACTAATGCTTATAGTTACTTGTTGAGTAGCTAAAAAATCAAAATACCAATACAATTTTTTACAATATATATTATTTACTATAATATCATGCAACATTTTTACTTTTTAGTCATTAGTTTTCAAAATCAATGAGGGCTATTCCATTAAAATGTATGTGGGAGAGCAGCTTATTAAGTTCTTTCTTACTCTCCCATGTCCATTTAAATGGAAGAGCCCTCAACAGAAAATCAAAGAATTTGTTTACGAATTATCCTGGCAGTTGTATCTAACCTTCAGCATATTTTTCATTACACAATACCCAACAACAAGGATGATTTTTTATACAGAAATAGAAAGTTGAAATGGCTGAACAAGTCACTTAGTACAATATAGAAATTGTAACAGATTAAGGAATAAAACACTAGTATAATTAATAATATGAAACATGTAACCCTCTCTGTCTGAACAGAATGATTTCTTTTTCTTTTTATTTCAATTGTTAAAAAGCAATGGCACTTTCATACCTGCCAACCTCTGAAACCTTCAAAGAGGGAGATCTCCCCCTCAGCTATGCCTATGACAGCTGAGGGGGAGATTTTGCGTGAACGGCATTTTCATGCTAAATATATATATGACCTGTACACTTATTCATCTACAAAACACCAATAAGAGTTAATAAATACACTTTATTTCTTCAATTCATGGTTGTAATCTATACAAGGTGTTCCCCCCTCCCCTTTTCAATACCTCCGGGTCTCATAATTCATGTGACATTCCATATTCTAATTTTGTTGTGAGTCTCACACTAAGCATGCTTCTGAACGTCATACAGACCACCAGAAGCAACCGAAAAGTTGATTGAACATAATGTGCACAATATAGAGATTTATTGTGCTGAGTGAACTTGGTCGTAAAAATTGAAATTTTTCATCCAATCTGCTTGACATTTGCAGTTATATTTCTTCTTTTTTACACTGACGCTTGGTCCAGACAAAGATCTTTACCTTGTTGCAGTTAACATAGCAGAAATGATTTTAGATTACTAATAAATTGAACATAAAAACTAATGACCAAAGTTTCCAGAGATCGATGATTGTTTGTTTCTTTTTATTGACTGTAAAGAAAAGTCCCGGGAAATACGAACGTGGGTCATTCCGAGTTAAAATATCTGAAAGATTCTAAACTCCGTGCGGAAGCGGACTGGCAAGTGGGAGATTTCTGGAATTTCGTCATTTTGCAGGAGACTCCTGCTTAAAACGGGAGGGTTGCACGTTAAAAACAACTAAGGGCTGTTCCATAAAAACATACATGGGACCCAGGGAAGGCACTTCTGAATCTCATCTATAGGTGGGTATCATCTATGTTTTTGCACAGTGGAAATGTAACTGAAATTTTAATTTGCCTCTATAGGTGGTTACCCCTATTTCTAAAGCGCCTTCCCTGGGTACCATGTATGTTTTAATGGGACAGCCCTAACCTTTCCAGAGCATAGGAGTTAACCCACAGGTATATGATTTTTTTTTCCTGCAGCTCAATTTTTACTTTTTGTGTAGTGTTTTCAAACTTTCTTTTGATGGCAAATCTGGTACCTTTCTATCGATTTTTTTAATGTAATACAGTGCATTATTGAAATTATGTTTGCAAACTTGAAAGATATTCTAAAAGTTCCACTCATTTTATAAATTGTGTTGTTGTATATTGTAAATTTACATACGACAATTCAGTTCATCTGAGCCATCACGACAATCTGATCTTCTGTCACATCTACGGTCAGCAGGGATACAGTCTCCACTTCTACATGTAAATTCATTTGGTTGACATCCTATAATGACAAAATTTAAATGTATGTAGAAGACATATGCACTGTGGACAAGTGTTATCCTGTTATGTCCAAAGTCAGCAGGGATACAGTGTCTACTTGTATATCTTATCATTTAAAGTTGACCTGTTATCCAGTAATTTTCACAGTCAGCAGGGATACAGTCTCAACTTGTTTAACCTTATCCTCTTATTGCAATTTCACCTATGTTTGCTGTTTCAACTTAAAAGATTATAATGTTATAAGAAAAACAATTAATCCACGGTTACTTTTTATTCTTATCATCTTCTGAATCTAAACAAGCCCTTAGCACACAATCATATTGATGTCTGACGTTGATATACTGTCCTCTACTTCACTAAAACTTGTAAAGTTGACCATGAAAACCTACCACACCCCTCCTCATCAGAGTTGTCCAAACAGTCCCTGTTACGATCACACTGTCGCCTGTTATCAATACACTGACCATTACTACAGCGGAACTCGTTGGGTTTACAAGCTGTGAATGAAAATAACACATAAAGCATTTTTTTTAATTCAAATTCATCAGGAACGCTCAAACCTCAACATTGACGGGCAACACGACAGGTGCCACTAGTGGAGCAGGATCTGCTTACCCTTCCGAAGCACCTGAGATCATCCCCGGTTTTTGGTAGGGTTTGTTTTGCTCTGTCTTTAGTTTTCTATGTTGTGTTTTGTTTACTGTTGTTTGTCTTTTTGGTCTTTTTTTGTTTTTTGGCCATGGTGTTGTCAGTTTGTTTTCGACTTTTGAGTTTGAATATCTCTTTGGTATCTTTCACCGCTCTTTTGAAAGCCAGGGATGTAAAGTTGAAAATAAATGCAACAACAAACACAATCAAATACTGTCAACAGCCTAAAAATTTCCTTCTTTTATATTATCCATTTGCTTCTAATTTAGAAAATACACTAATTCACAAAAGTATTATTCCAAAAATGATTTTGTTTTGAGGGTTTGCGATGTACTTCAGATAAATAAGACGTACTGTGAGCTATTTATCACTTTTTATGTCCCAGCTCAATATCGTTGACTCTATTTTGCAAACAGGAGGTAAAACATTGAAGGAATGTCACATGGTTTGTTTTTTGCCATACACACTAAGGGCTATTCTATTAAAATGTATGTGGGAGGGTAAGAAGGGACTACAACCAAGAACCATTTTTTAGATAATTTTCATAATGGTAATAGACGCATACTGAAAAAAGACCATTCAATAATTAAACTTCCCTTCCTACCCTCCCACATACATTTTAATGGAATAGCCCTTAAAAGCTATGACTAGTAGTAGCTGAAAAAAACCATTTTGGTCAATCATACTTAAACAATGAATTTTCAGCAAATAAGAAGTAAAACTTATAAGGAACTGTAAATGTATCACAAATGGCAATACTAGATCAGTTTAAGTATCCAAACCATCATGCCATTCTTACCACAGCCTTCCTCATCAGTTCTGTCAGAACAGTCAGCAAATCCATCACATTTTCTTGCCGCTGGTATACACTGGAATTGTTGTGTGCAAGTAAACTGATCTGCACGACAATTCAATGTAGCTGCAAGAGAAAAAGAAGACTTTGAATGATTATATCAAATCTGTCCTCAATCCAGTGTTAGGATCATTCTTGAACTTGCAGTGAGGTGCCAGCTTTTACCTTATTTTGAAGGCCTCATTTAACTAAAATTTAAGGTAAAAATAAGGCCTGGAAGACATAGCTATCAAGCCAGTGACACAAGTGCATTCTTTACCACAAAAAATCAAATATTTTCCGTAGATCTTATCAAGACACTCTATGTCTTCTGCAAATATTTTCTATACTGTGGATTCATTATTATTCGTTGGATACCAATTTTTGTGGGTTTCGTGGGTACCGGTGAACCACGAATTCAAATGTTCAACGAACTACAAATTTACTATAGGCTTTGTATGCAGAAATTGGCAAATCCACGAAATCAAATATCCACGAAAATGCAAGTTTTCCTCAATCCACGAAAATAAATGAATCCCAGTATATCAATTTGTGTCTTTTGTAAGTTCACCATCATTTACCAGTTGCAATTTTCATTTGGCAGCACTTGCAAATAATTCAAACAATAGAGATATCTGGTTTTGGTGAAATTTTTCCTTTACTATTTATTATTATTATTATTTACAATATTTATATAGCACATTATTTAATTAAAATTACTCTAAGCGCTTAAAATAAAAACAATCAATGCAGTTAAAAGAGGTGTTTAACATTAAAATCATCAATACAAATTGAATGAGTATATCAATACCTATTCCTGTTTGGGGTATTATGTCCCTTAAAATTGTTAATTCTCTAATATTTTGCACAAAGTGGAGGATAACATATGAATTTGTCGGCTTCTAGAGCAAATAAAATCAGAAAAAAAATTATCTACGTCTTTTCTTATTTCTTTTTGTGGCAAATTGCCAATTTAAATAACTTGGTTGAAATGGCAACTGCATTTTTAAACTTATATTATGTTATGTATATATGTTTTTACAACTGTTTGACACATGGTCATCAAAATACAAATGCCGATAAAACAACTCTTTTCCAAACTTTTGAAAAGCTTAACTTACGACAATTATTTTCGTCTGAATTGTCCACACAGTCTCTTACACCATCGCACTCTTTTACAAGGTTGATACATGTACCATCACTGCAACGGAATTCATCAGGACGACACGTTGATACTGCAAAAGAGAAACAAAAGTTCTTCAATCAACAATAAGTATCAAACCACTACTCCTGTACTGTAAATTTACTGGACGATAGCATGAGAGGTTGATATTCTCAAATCCCCGCCAAGTATAAAAAAAATAACAGCATTTAAATCTAAATTATAAATATTTTGTGTGTAGATTGTGGAAACTGGTTAGTTTTAATAGAGTAGAAATTTCTGAATTTCAAAGCCAAAGCTGTAGTGCATTTTTTGTTTTCTTGTCTCTGATTCAGACAGTGAAAATTTAAAACTATTTTTTTCTTCTGAATTTAGAAATGGTTTATTTTTGACAGTTTTTGCTGTTCCTTTTTGGTCGATTTACACAGTATCCTGGATTCATTTAAATTCCTGGGTACCAATTTTTTTTGGAATTAAGGAAAACTGTATTTTCCTTGAAACTTGATTTCTTACTTTCCTAAAGTTCTTTATACAAGACAATAGAAAGTTTGCATTAAGTTAAACATTAGAACTTGTGGTACCCAAGAAATGCACAAAAATTAGTTCCTCACAAATGAAAATGATTCCACAGTAATTCATTCTAGGTCTTATTGTTCTAAATACTGATAATTTGAACTTAAATAACATTGACTTGTTACATTGAATACTCCAGGAATACTTCTGGAATAATCCTGGAATACCAATGGAATACTCATGGAATACTCATGGAATACTCCTAGAATACTCATAAAATACTCATGGAATGGAATACTTATGGAATACTAATGGAATACTCATAGAATATTCATAGAATACTCATGGAATACTCATGGAATACTAATGGAATAATACTTATGGAATACTAATGGAATACTCTTGGAATACTCCTGGAATACTCACCACATCTGCTATGTTCATCTGATCGATCAGTACAGTCAGTAATTCCATCACACTCCTGCATGGCATCAATACACTTCGTCCCATCCCTACACTGGAACTGTCTTAGACTTGGACAACCACAATATTTAGGAAATTCGTCTGACCCATCTCTACACTCTGTACGACCATTACAGCCACTTCCTTGTCTGGCACAGGACCCATCATCACAGACGTACTGACCTGTACGGCATGGACCTCCTGGACCTTAAGATTAAAAAAAAAATTCTATTTGGAGGTTCAAAATAACAATATTTTCATAAATGAGGTCTTTTGAAAATAAAATGTATAATTACATAAAAATTATGGCAAAATAAAGAAAGGTGTGTTTGATTCTTTATGAGGTACAAGCAATTGAAAAAAAAGAAAAAACCAGGTTATGGGTTAAATTCCTAGCAGAATAGCAAAGACTTGAAACTGGTATTTGATACTTCTCTGCTGAATGTTAGCACAAATTAAACTCAGCTATACGTCAGAATAATGTGTTTCCTAAAGGTAACATGTTTTTCAAAGGAATATTATGTGTTATCAGCTTAAAAATTTGGATCTGGAAATATAAACATTTAAATATTTTACAGCTACCTACATTGAAAGTTCTATTCACTCATCTAATGCAAGGTACCTTGGCTAACATTTAATATTGTCCAGTGTATGTTATTCATTGATTAAATTTAAACTTCCTTTTCTGACTGTTTTGTTGCTATTTTTAGTGCATGTACTGAACAGTTTATACAGTACACTCAAGGTGTTTCATGCCAAAATCACTTGAGTGATTTTAGTAGTGTTGAGTGATTCAATGTGAAACAGGCTGATTGCTGGTGATTTTATTTAACATCACTCAGATTTTCAAAAAATGCAATCTTTTATCTAGAATTTATCCAGAAATATTTCAGAGTCAATCACCAACAATAACCAAAACTTGCTTTTAAAATTCACTTCCAAGAGTGAAGTTAAAATGAATCACCCTGTTTGTACTATAGTTATGAGGGTCCGGATGGGGTCTTCATTTTTGTATTCTTAGATTTTTAGGCCATCAGTCTTTATTCTTTATATTTTAGCACCCATTTATTCTCTATTCTATATTTTTGGCCTTTTTTCTCTGTTCTATATTTTGACACTATTTTCTGTAGTATTGGCCTATTATTCTTTATTGTTAACCCCATCCAGATCCTCCTGTAGTAATGGGTACACATGTACTTACAGTTTTCCTCATCAGAACGATCATTGCAGTCAGCATAACCATCACACCTGTATGTGTCTGTAATACAAGTTCCGTCTCTGCAACGGAATTGGTTAGGTTCACAAGCTGAAATATATAATATATGATGAGGCAAATGATTCAAAAGTAAAGATTGCTTTAATTTTGTATAATTGAACTGCATTATATTAAACAATGGAACAAACTAATACGTTTATTTTCATCACTAGAAGTTTAATTTATTTTGTAAAGTCAAAATAATCAATGAATGATTGTTTTTTCAAGGAAAAATTTAAATTTAAATGAAAGAACTCCACAAAGAATAATAGCTATTGTATTTATTCATTTGGACAGTTCACTTTGCAAAAACTCAAATGGCCAAATAAACACCAATTGATTTTGAGGAAAGGTTTTATTTCCTTTGCCAAAAATATGTTAAAACTTACCTGGGATAACCAATAGACTTGCCCTGTCTGGTGTGGCACTTGATGCTTGAGGTGCAGAACAGATGTAGGTGTCAGCATCTGCGAGTACTAGATTTGGAATAGTCAGTCTGCCCCTATCAATCACAGCTTTAGCAGGAATATCCTATTATTTACATAGAAATTAATATATAGTAAACCATTACTACATTAGATGCACACAGCACTTACCGGTAATTCTAGAATTACTTTCCTTAAATTTGCTTCAGTCAAAATTGAAAGACAGGACAAAAATACTTGATTATGAGAATAAGACCCAAATAGGAAACCTTAGATATCATAATGATATGACTATTCAGCAAAGAATCTGAAGAAAAGTTAAATATCATCACCATTTTCATTAACTTTCCGCTGATCTTTCTGTGTTATAATTTTTCTTCTTAATCTACTAGACTGAGATGAGGACATCTTCAAGTTGTAAAGGGGTATGATGTTTTATTGGGTGCTACACTGTAACTTCTAGATGAAAAACAGCTACAAATGTGCTGTTCCTTTGTTTTTGATAGTCTGTTAGGGTCTTAAAATATCTAACCACCATCCAGAATGATACTCTTAAGAGTCAGTTGAGAAACATGCAATTAATGAAAAGAAAAGAATAACTCACAGACAAGTTATTTTTTTTTAAAGATGATATAAAAGAAAAAAGTTGTTTTTTTTTTTTTTTAGAGAATAGTTTTCAAAAAGATGATAATATCCAGTTGGGCTATTCCATTTAAATTGATGCGGGAGGTTGAAAGAAAGTCTAATTTTGGACATTGGTCATTTATGGCTGTATGTCCATTGAATGTGTTCAATAGTAAAGAAAGTATTTTGGTTGTGTAGGCGAGGGGGAGGATAAGGGGTCCCTCCCACATCCATTTTAATGGAATAGCCCTTACAACTCTTCTAGCCTTCTATGTATATATTTCTGCTACAATATATATTGAATTGTTTATCAAGACAGGGGGAGGGGGGTTGTATGAATTCAGGATAGACATTATCCACAAAATGTATACCCCAACAAACTTTTAACTGAACATTACTTCCACTTACTAGAACTTCAGGAAGCGATTTTTAAGACATTAAAACACAAAATATTAATTAAACTTAAAACAAACATTTCAAGTGAGATTGCAGTACTTAGTTGTATGCTAGCTGGCATCAACTGGCCATAGTAATATATTGCTTATTCCCATTTTTTCCGCAGATCTTGTACTTACGGCAAAAGTTTTTTTTTAGAGTATCAGCCTAAACATGCCCAAATTGAATATAACTGGATAACTGGACTTACAAGAACCAGTTCATAAATGCTGGTTCAGAATAGGGTGGCATATATGATTATATTATATAGCATTATTTGGCAATTTTTTTCTAATCAATACTAAATTCAAATAGGTCCATTCTAGCAGCATATATTGTTTCAATATATAAAATCTTATTTTTTCCAATGTCTCCCTTTACAAATTTAGTAAAGTGAAAAAGAACATTCTTTAGAATAGCTTATCCGACTTAAAATCAGAAACATTCTGCCAGAAAGGCTGCATGGGATTATTGTGACAAAATGAAAATAAAATGTAGTAAACATTGAAGATAATAAATGGGGAATGTGTCCATTAGACACAGATGATGCCCCCGCTTGCATATAACATTATAAATGGACATAATTCTAGAACTGTAAAAGTGATGCTACCAAAATTCATACTTGATCTGAGTTTTGTGGTAATAAGCATTTTGTATAAGTTTCAAAACATTTGGTTGAGGCAAACTTAAGTTAAAGAATGGAAACGAAAAATTCAGCAATTTTTCCATTTGTAAAGGGGCATAACTCTAGAAAGGTAAAAGTGACGCTACCCAAATTCAAACTTGATCTGTGTTTTGTGGTAATAAGCATTGTGTACAAGTTTCCTAACATTTGGTTGAGGCAAACTAAAGTTAGAGATTGGAAACCAATTTTGGCTGTACCAACTGACAAGGGTTAAACTTAATGCCCCCTCCGCTACAGGGGGGGGGGACATTAAAAAAGATGCATTACATTTGGTAATATTTCAAAGGCAAAGTCTAAAATAACAAGTAAAGTTTCAACACCGCCATGAAACACATTGTGAAAAATATAAGAACATAATATTGATGGTTTCAATGCATCCAGGATAAAAGTGTAAAGGGGGATTACCCAGTACAAAAAGGGAAATCATCCAGGAAAAATATGAAGTGTAAAGGGATATTACCCAGTACAAAAAAGACAATCATCCAGGACAAAATATTTTCTGTCTGTGTAGTACTGTAAAGGGAGATTACCCAAGACAAAGGTGTAAAGGGATTAATCTCACCAACAGGAAATTCAAGCTGGAGCAGACACACTTGTTAACAACTCAACTACATTAATATTTTTTCAGCCTTATGAATAATGAAACAGAATCATTATTCTTTCAAAATTTCAGTTATATAAAAAATAGACTTCAAATTGAATCCTCACACATTTTTGTACTTTTTCCAAAAAATAAGAAGTTAATCTACTTCTCAAAATTTCACTGAAGTTGATAATTTTATTTGCAATTTGTACTTTTAGATTGAAGAAAATGTCACATGACTATCCTAGTTTAAATAACTATGATATTGTTTATGCATATAAATCACTGATCGGCATGGTTGCATGGAACATTGCATCTGCTCTAACCTGTTAATTAAGGGTAAGTTATATATACCACTTATGTTATACTTACCATATTATCCTGAAACTTTTAATCAACAAAATTGAATGAAAAATTCCTAAGAATACTTTTAAAATGAGAATGGCTTTACACTCTCATTTATGGGGTTGTTCATAATAATGACAGGAATAAAAAGTCCTGGTCAAAATTGACAAAATTCCCCAATTCTAGAGACTAATGCATTCTGGGTACTAATTTCAAAGTATACACAGAAAGGTTTTGATTTGCGGACAATGTTATGAACAATGGATATTCCATCAATAGCATGACATTATTTTCATTTTTGGACACACAAAGTGACATTACCCACAATCCCCGATTCTGAAACAGGAAACAACTGATACACTATTCCAGAGCTTGTGTTTCCTTTCATAATTTCCTAAATAGAGGATAACTGCTTACAAGGAAGCTATTGCATCAAAGGTTGGTAGTAAAAATTGGAGTCATCCCTCAAACTATTTTATTGATGTTATCATGATTCATACCTGCCAACTTTTCAAAATCTACATGGGGGATTTAAGTGATTTGTCATAAGTGTTCTTAATATACCACTATATTATTTGAATGAGTATAATATGTGCTTAAATACCCTTTTAACTCATTTGAATGCCTGTTTTGAGGTGTTCAGTTTATATGATAAAGAATTTCAAAATTCAGGTCAACACCTCTCATGGGGGATATCCCCCATAAATCAGGATAGTTGGCAGGTCAGAATTGATTTTGATGAACCTTACAGATTACCTGTGTCATAGATAACCATAAATATGTTCAACTTGTCGTAACCACAATCATGTCCATTTTTGCTTGATTGTGACAATACTTGTTTGAGCAACACTATGGGTACCACATGTGGAGCAGGAACTGCTTACCCTTTTGGAGCACCTGTGTTCATCCCCAGATTTTGGTGGGGTTCGTGTTGCTCTCTGGTTTTGTGTGTAGTGTTTTGTTATTTTTGACCATGTTGTCTTTTTTTCATTTAAACTTTATTTCTACTGCTCCCAAGTTATCTTCTTTTTTTACTTTTTACAGTTCTGAATTGATTTGATGATGATTGGTGTTTAATGCCACTTTCAACACTATTGTGCTATTTCATGGCGGTCAGTTTTTATTGGTGGAGGAAGCCGGAGTGCCCAGAGAGAACCACTGACCTTCGGTAGGAAAACTGACAATCCTTGTCAAATAAGATTGGAGTTGAGTGCATCTGCACCGTGCGGGACTTGAACTGACAACCTCAGTGTTTACAGGCTAGTGTTTACAGGCTAGTGAAACAGTAGTTCAAATTCTTAGACCACTCGGTCACCGAGGCCCCTGTTTCTGAATTGAATATTGTATATCAGATCAATGATGATAGATTGTGTATATAAAGTTTAATAGAATAGGGTAGTCCCATTTTTCATACAACATTTAGTATTTAATATATATATATATATACTGTATCATTTTTATATAGTTTTGAATAAAATCAGCTAATTAAAAATGATAAAAGCATATTAGTCTTCACAATGAATATTCAAATCAACAGGCCCAGAGCTCAATTTTTGGAAAATTTGAGTCAGATTCTGTTGGCCTGTAGTGATGATTTTTACAGACCTGTAAGCAATTTTACAAGCCTGCGACTCTTTTCACAAAAAATCTTAAAGAGGAAAAATACTCGTAAGTCATACACATTTCAGTACAACTTATGATCAATTTTAATCGTAAGATTTTTTGTGAAAAGAGTCACTGTGGTAAAGTGTGAACACTGATATTAAGAAAATTGCATGGTACCAATTCAAATCTATAGAAACCCATTTCATTACTTTTATAAATAATTTGTTTGGTATGAACCTTTCAAACTTCCTAGTTTATACAAGATAATGTAAAAATGAAAGAAGTTTTATAAATGATTTATAAATTTTAAACAAATAAACAAGATAATTACTGTCTGAAGTAACTTATCTTTATTACTTTTGGCTTTAGTTAAACCAAATAAAAAAAACCTAGATAATAATGTAATAATATAGCTGCATGGTTAAACTTTGTAAATTATGCAATATATTTTCAGAATTTTTTTTCAAACCTTCAATATTTCACCATGCAATTTTAGGGTAGAGGTGCTCTTTGACTAAAAAAATTTACAACAAAATTTTGAATACATGAAATGTTTGCTGTAAATTTTCAGAAATCTAAAAATATACTTATCAATAAATCTTCAGTAATCAACAAAATTGACTAAATTAGGAGAAAATTTCCAATGTGTGGATTTACATGGAGTCATACAATGTATAAGTATTTTAGTATACTAAATTGGAAAAAAAAACAAAAAAGCATGATGTCAAGTTGCACAGTTATTACATTTTAAATAAAAAACAAAAATAACCTCAACGCTATCACCATGGTAATTACCTGAGAACCTCTGGTCCAATGGATTCTGATAGGGGTATTAGCCTCAACAACACAATCAAACACAGCAGTTTCTCCCTCATTCAGAACTAGCTCTTTGTTTGTTATTTTTAGTGAGGTCACAATAACACCTAAAATAAATTCAAACCATTTATAGCTGACTATGTGGTATGGGTTTTACTCATTGTTGAAGGCCATACAGTGACCTATAGTTGTTAATTTCTGTGTCATTTGGTCTCTTGTGGAGAGTTTTCTCATTGGCAATCATACCACATCTTCTTATTTTTATACTATGTAGTTTTTCCTCATATTATATAAAGCTTGTAGTATTCATGATAAAATCACTGCAAAGAAAACATATTGAATAATGGCCAAAATCGAAAATGGAGTTGATTGTCTCTTTGAATTTTAAAAATGTTGTCATGTTGGGACCTTTTATAGCTTACTATAAAGTATGGGTTTTGATCATTGTTGAAGGTCATACAGTGATGTTTAATTGTTTAAATTCATATCAGTTGGTCCTCTCTGGAGAATAGTAGTATCATTGGTATTCATACCTCATCTCCTTATTTTCATTAATATAGCTGTTATTTAGTCAGACATTTCAGTTGTATTTTGAACACTAGAACTCAAATGTACATTTCACTGGAAGTTGTTTGCTATGAAATTCAATCAAAGGAGTAGGTTCGAAAGGGGCCCTAAAATGGCCCTGTTTTTTAGCTTAAATTTCAAATTAGGATTTATTGACCAATATCACAATGAATCATAGCTATTACAGTGACTAGATAGGAAATAAGCTGTTTGATAAAAATTTACGTACCTACATTTTATTCATGACATCACAAATAGTACTCATTTTGATTTTCCATGAAAAAAATCAAAGAAAATGGGCAAATTTACATTGATTAATGGACAGGAAACATAGAGCGCATACGTCGACTAAAAAGATATTTTGAAATAATGTTTGTAAAGACATTTTACATTTCTAACTTGAATATTTAGTTTGTTGACGCCTGCGCTCTATGTTTCCTGTCAAATTTGGCCAAAATCTTGTATCTTGACCTATTTGGGATGTAAAAATCAACGCTTGAGAATAAAACTTTGACACAACAAATTCTATTTAACTTTCTCACATGTCTTTAAGTCATCTTAAAACATTTTTCATCTTGCAACATTGAACTTTATAATCGGGGCCAAATATGGCCCTTACCCAACTTACTCCTTTTTTAAAATAGTAAGTCAGTATATATTATATTTGCTCACTTTAAATCGTGAAACATGTTGATTTCATTTTTTTTTTAATTTTGCTTTAACAAATCAAAATGGCTGCCTTTTAAACATATCTTACAGGATCACCTCAAACCAAATCAAATCAAAATTTGTTTATAGGAATCAAAATAATTCTTGCTAACCTTTAGCATTTAGATATTGACAAAAATAATGCCTCCCCATGTTTAATAAGCATAGAGCATGAAACTATAGATTCAGATGACACTATCCAAATATTGGCATGGATTTAATGGTTAAAAAATATCAATTGGAATTACTGAGGGTCTGGATGGGGATTGCATAATAGAGAATAATGGGCCAATACTGCAGAAAAATTGTCAATAAAAATAGAGAATAGAGAAAAATAGGGAGCAAAAAATGAAAGAAAAGAAAATAATTAGGTGCTAAATTATAAAGAATAGAGAATACTGAACAAAATTTATAGAGACTAGAGAAAAATGGCTTAAAAATACAGAATTAAGGGATCCCCCCCCCCCATCCAGACCCTCTTAACTTGTGTCACATGATATACTAACCACATGTTGCCACAGATTCATCTGTACCATCTCTACAGTCTCGTCTATTGTCACACCTCCTAACTTGTGGTATACACTGATTGTCAGCACATGTAAACATTCCCTCTGGACATATTGGTTTTACTGGACCTATCAAATAAATAACAAATGACAGTGAATCAGGGCCAGGTAAACATTCCCTCTGGACATATAACCCGAATAATTCAGTCGTTATATTCCTCGATAAAGACCGTCAACCGGAAAATTCACACCGCTATGCAATATGGGAATTTTGATTTAAGTTGGCAGCTAAAGAAGGAGGAGTTCCGGATGTTAATTGATGTTAAATGATGTAAACTGATGTTAATTGATGTTAATTAATTATTATCGGATTTGTGTTAATTGAACACACGTGTTTAGTAAGACAATTACAAGACAGTTGCGCAGACTCATTATCCTGATCGCCGCCGATTGGCTCTCTCTCACAGAGAGCAGACGATGCGGCCAATGATCATAAGGAGTTCAAGCCCTCGTGTGGGAGAAAATCGGACACGGAAAGGGCTTGAATTATTCGAGTTACTGGACATATTGGTTTTACTGGACCTATCAAATAAATGTTATAAGAATCCATAAATTTGAAAATTTGTTATAGACAATCCCATAATATTTCTTCTGGTTTAAAATATGAGGCTGGTCGAGCGTTTTAAATATTCAAAATTTAACTGTTGAGAGTGGATAAATATTGTATTGCCAAAGATTTAGTGGTGGAATCTGTTTCTCTAATGATTTTTGGACGATATACAGACAATTTCAATCCTAATTTTCAAATGATCTGCAAAAAGATGTGTGCTTTCTCTCTGACATCATCAGGCATGGTCACCTTTTTTCATGACGTCACAATAGGAAATTCAAAGGAAATCAAGGAAGTTTAACGTCATAATCAAATTTTGACCAATGAAGAACTGAGATAAAACGAACCACACGTTGATTAAATAAAAATAATCAACAGGTCCGGAAATGGATAAATCTGGTAAGAATTAGAGAAATAATATTACCGAATATTACTTCCGCTTGGAACTTATATTATGAAGGAAATTATATTTCATGACATGCTGATTACATATAAAGTCATTCTGTTCAGTAGTACAAAAGTGTAACGACAACTTCAAAGTGGATACAACATAAAAGTGGGACAGAAATATTTGTTGGACAAACAGACAGACAAACAGATGCAATATAGCCCCCACTAAATATTAATATAACATTGAGCTACACAGTCGCAGCATTTTGGTAGATACATACAAGATTCAGTAATTTGTAAACAAGTATTTTAAAACACCTGACTTGCTACCGAGCATCTGATCAATTTTTAACCTTTTAAAAAAATTATATGAATGCGTCAAATAGATATAAGAAGATGTGGTATGAGTGCCAATGAAACAACTCTCCATCCAAGTCAAAATTTATAAAAGTAAACCATTATAGGTCAAAGTACAGTCTTCAACACAGAGCCTTGGCTCACACCGCACAGCAAGCTATAAAGGGCACCTAAAAAATTACTAGTGTAAAACCATTCAAACGGGAAAATTAACGGTCTAATCTTTATAAAAAACAAGAAACGAGAAACACTTATGAACCACATCAACAAACGACAACTACTGAACATCAGATTCCTGACTTAGGACATGAATTTGAATGTCCCTTTCGTATTTTTCGCCTATCTTCTATACCCACAAAAAATTTGTACTCAACTAATAATAATGAATCCACGGTAACCCAAGAATTGGACACAAAGGTCAGAAGGTCAACTTACAATCTTCTTCATCTGAACGATCCTGGCAGTCAGGGGTACTATCACATTTTCTGGAGCTTGGTATACACTGTCCACTTCTACATCGAAACTCATCTGGTCTGCAAGCTGAAAACAGAAAAATTACAATTTTAATTTCCTGGAACACTAAAAACTCTCTACTCTTTGCATACTGTATATTGAAAAATGTCTGTGTGTGTCTAATTTTTGCAATATGTGTGGGAGACATTTTTATTGTGAAATTTACCCTATTAAAGTGAAAATTTCAGTGTTTATCTAAATGCATTGTAAAAGACCATGAAATGTGAATATAAACACAGATAACACTTAGCTTCCCCATCTAAAGGCCAAAACTGCAAACAAAACCCAACATGAAATAACCCGATATAGGGTACTATAATATATATTTGTTTGTTTTTATAGTGATTAAGATTAAAACACAATGTTGACTGCTGTATCCCTATTTTTAACATTTTTACCTATTATGACTGCTTGTTTTGTTCACACATTGTTGTCAATATAATGGAATTTTATGTGACTGTCATACAAGTGAGAGGTTTAGCTAGCTATAAAACCAGATTTAATCCACCAATTTCTACATAAGGAAATGCCTGTGCCAAGTCAGGAATATGACAGTTGTTTTCCATTTGTTTGATGTGTTTGAGCTTTTGATTTTGCCATTTGATAAGGGACTTTCCGTTTTGAATTTTCCTTGGAGTTCCGTATTTTTCTTGTTTTACTTTTTATAAACTCAAAAATGTTTGTGTATTGATTACTGCTATTGTTGAACAAGGACAAAATTTTAATATTAATAATTGCAATGAAAATAATGAAATTAAAAATTATCTGCGAGCATTCATTGTAGTGTAACCTATCAAGTCACAATTTTTTTAAAAGTAATATAAAAACATCGCTAAAATTATCAGTTCTTATTTGTCTAGGATCCGGAGTCAATAAAACAATACAAAACTTGATGTGTCTTTACAACACAAATGGTGTTCTTTTCTAATTTGGTATTTTGTTTAAGTATTATACTATTGGCTTTCTCATGTTCATTGACCGATATTCTTTTTCAACAAACTTTTACTGACTTATGCAATAGGTAAAATCTTCTGTGCGTTTTAAATCATACCACAATTTGCTTCATCTGAACGATCCCGACATTGGACAATTCCATTACATCTGGCATCTGGTGAAACACATTGTCCATCATCACAACGGTAGAGACCTTCAGGGCATGGTGGAGCAACATTACCTAAAATAAAATGTAAAAATTATTCAATTCCTGTTAAAAGGTGGAGCAACTTACCTGAAATAAAATTTAAAAAAGGTATTTGAAAATTGTGAAGTTAAGGATGTTCGATCCTCTGTTTCAAAGTAACAATTTTTTTGAAAGACTGTCATAAATTGATAGTATATAAATAACAGAACTTAAAAAGCAGAAAAAAATGAAAGGTCTGTGTGCTTGTTTTTGAGATATAATCAATTGAAAATTTGGAGGGAAATAATTCTCTATAGATTTTTCAAACATTTAACATTGGCACATTTTTCTTTCAAAAACTATGAAAAAAGAATTTTTTAAGATATTCAAAAATGTTTTTTAAACTATATGTTATAAAATTATGAAAAGAAAAGGGGGGGTTAGCGGGCAAAATTTGTATTGGCGCAACATGGATGAAACTACAGGGTGCGGAATATCTGATAAAAAATTAAAAACAAGAGTAGCAAAAATCCTTAAATTGCCATGAAGTGTGTTATAAAGGGCTAACTGGGACATAAGGTTTCCCCAAAAATAAGTTGGTTTACAATAACACTTGGCTATATCATGGTGGCTATTTTTTACAGGTGGAGGAAGCTGGAGGTCCAAGAGAGAACCGCAAACCTTCCACAGAAATACTGGCAATTTTATTAAATCAAGATAGAAGTCGAGCACATGTTTGCCACAACCATAGCGTTGCTGGGCTTCCAAAATGTTGTCAATTACAAATTTTTCAAAAAAAAGTATCTCACAAACAAGCTTTGAAAATTTGGTTGAAATGCATGCTTCCAAAATGTAGTAAGTGAACCTGAATATTTTTGTAAATGACAGTGAAATAAAAACTATGATGTTTGTGGATTACTTAAAAACTAAACTTATTTTAACAGAAATATAGAAGTGTACAAGTATTTGATTCCCAAAGCCATTATACAACACTTTTCAAGTTAACATACAACATTTTGAAAGCAAACTTTACTGAAGCAGCTGAGATTGGCAATTTTGTCACAAGTCTTTTTTCAAATGTTTTGATTGGTCAAACTGTATGCTATTTTGGAGTATCAAAGATTGCCGCCCGCCAAGACGATTTGTGTGAAAAGTAATTTTAGCCAAAAAAGTCATATATATGACATTTTGGAAGCCCAGCGACGATATTAGTTTGAACCCACAACCTTATTGACAGGCTAGAGATAACTGTAGAACTTTGGTGGATAGTTGTCTCATTGGTAATCATACCACATCTCCTTATTTTTATATGAATAACTTAGACCATTCAGTAGTGGGACTCTTCTTGTTAAATGATATTTGACAGAAAACTTATACTTTGAGGTTTATTTCCTCTTTCTATCACTAAGTGCCACATTCATTCCTTCCCTCAAACTTCATCCTCACTCTTTGCTGTACCCTATTGCTACATCAATTCCTTTCTCAAACTTCCATTCTACCTTTTCTGTCCCCAAGAGCTGCATCCATCCTTACCATCAGACTTAATTAACTTGTACCCTTGTGCTACAGTAATCCCTACCCTCAATTCAAACTTCAACTGTCCCTTAGGGTCACACCCATCCCTACCCTCAGACTTCCAACTTACATATCATCACAGTCAAACTGGTCATTACACCTCACCAAGGATTCAATACACAGTCCCTTAGGGTCTCACCCATCCCTACCCTCAGACTTTCCAACTTACATTCTTCTTTATCAGAAAGGTCATCACAGTCAAACTGGTCATTACACCTCAGCAAGGATTCAATACATTGTCCCCTAGGGTCCCACCCATCCCCACCCTCAGACTTCAAACTTACATTCTTCTTCATCAGACAGATCATCACAGTCAAACTGGTCATTACACCTCAGCAAGGATTCAATACATTGTCCATTACGGCATTCAAACTGACCCAAACGGCATCCTTCAGCTGAAAATATACATTTATAAATCATCATTATGATTGCTTTAAATGTTCCAATATTTTACATATTTGATTGCTTTTTTCTGGCTTTTTTAAAAAATACACAGGTCCAGAAGCAATAAAAAAGGATGGTAGGGTATTTTAATGAAACCATTATCCATGATGCTTTGAATGAGTCTTTTTTAAACTTCATATTATAATTTTAATGGCAAAAATGAGGGTTTTTTTCAGCGCTACTATATATATATCCTTCAAACTTTTTGCAATACTGCAGTTTTAACAAATATGAGTAATAAACATGGATGCTTATTCTCTTCTAAGAAGATATTGGTCTAAGTGGTCACAACAGCTTGACAAAATATGGACCCTAATTGCCTTTTTAAAGCCCCTAATGCCTATTTAGGACTCTTGATAGCATTCTTTGAAAACTTAAACATCAACTACAGATTTTTCACTTGTTTGAAGAAATTTATATGGATACACACAGGATGAGGGTAAAAGATAAGTTAAGACCAATAATAAAAGTGCAGTTCCTTTTCATTTGGGTTTTCTTGAGTGAACGTTGGAACTTTGTGTCGTTAATTAATACAACATATCTTATCTCTTTGCATTTTTTAAGATATTTTCTCATACATATATATTTAAATAACCATATTATTAAAAAAAATAAACTGTTAGTACTAAACCAAATAAAACAAGTAAAGTCAGTAAAAACTAAGATTCAAAATAAAATTACAAAAATCACGATTTCTAACATTTATATCACATTAATCTGTTAATAATAATAACAACATGTAATAAGTAAAGTACAGGACAACCCAAGTAATTGCATTGCAATCTAAAGCTTAAAAATCATGTGACAACCAATTCCAAATACTCTCCTTCAACAAGTCAGGGGCTCTTTTTACAAAAAAAAAAAAATAGTTCAGAGATTTGCTCTGTTCAAAGTTAAGTAGTTTACCAATTACCAATTATAAATATATATAACTAATAAATTTAATAACAGAAAATAAATAAAATCTCTTATATTTGTTTGTGCATTCATAAATATAGGTTTTATAGAAATATATACTACATGTCCAATAACTCAGAATGCAATTGTCTTACAATGTATATCAGGGCAAGTATACATGATAAATGAATGAAAGACCGGTGTTTAATGATGGATTGGTTACTGGTTATTTAATATCCCAACTACGGAAGTGGTCTGTGGTAGGGTGCTAGCTTTGAGTAAGAGATTCAAATGGTTTTTTGTCTGGGTTGGTTATTCAAAAATCTAAAAAAAATAGGTATTCCTGCACACAAAGAACATGAAATATAGGAATGTGAGGACAGACTACCGGTAGTTAGACATGGTCAAGTAGAGCCATATAATTATATACAAGTTCTTTGATTTACAGGTGAAAATTACTTACATCAGTAACACAAAAATGTAATTAATGTTGACATCAATGGTAATAAAAAATACAGATTGAAAAATTCTTTTGGGTTGAAATTTTGAAAAAAACAGAGGATTTGAATTATTAACCAGAGGGATGGAAGAGGGCTTAAAAATCGGGAGATTTGACTACTGCTGGAAGAATCACATGTCTGCATGGAGTCAGAATGATGTGCAAGTCAGACCATGTCTTGCTAGGATGTTTATCTTGTGAGTCAGCATTGTTATAAACTTGACTCAGCGTGCCTAATGATACAGACCAAGGTATCTTCATACCATATTAATTTCTTTCCATGAAATCCATGAAAATTCATATCCAACAATAAAACTTTGTTCACATTTATGTAAATGCATTGTTCCTGAGGAGTATTTTTTTTCAATTTCAATTTATCTTTAATGCCAAATATTTGTGTCTAAATTACATCTAACATATCTATTTTTTATCTTCATAATTATGATATATTGGTTTTCAACTTCATAATCATGAATGATTGCCCTTGTATTTTTTGTCAAAGTCTGGTTCCTGCCACCAAAGTGTTGCATAGTTATACATCGTTGTAATGGCATGATAACGTGATAATAATATTCCCAATTAACTCTCATTAGGGGGCTTTATGAATAAAAATTCCCCAATATACAGTATACACGATGGATTTTACATTTGTCGTGTATATTTATAGTACATACAAATTGATGAAGTTAAAAATCTTTCTTGTTGGCTTTAATTGAATAACTGTAAAACAGGGTCACTAATGGAGATTAAAGGTGATAATGACCCAATGACCCTAGCTGTCATAACCAGAATAATTCAGTTGTAATATTCCACTGCTCTACGATGGGTGCATTAATGCAAGAATGCCTATTCAATGAAAAATTGTCCTTTGATTATTTTTAATTACATTTGTAGCTTGGGTTTTATCTATCTGGATAACATGCAAGTTTCAATCTAAATTGGCTTTCTCATCCAGAGAGCACTGATTCATGACACCGTTTTATCCAATAAAGTGTTCAGGCCTTTGCAAGTCAATGAGTCGATCACAGGGAGAGACTGAATGTTTTGGTTTATAGCTGTCACAAAATACTTAAGTTTTTGATCTGTTTGTTTGTTGGTGTTTATCATCCTTTCAGCAACCTAAGCTACATCTTGGCTGACAGTTTTTATTGGTGGAGGAAATGAGAGTACCCAGAGAGAAAACTAGCAGTCCTTGTCAATTAAGATTGTAGTCAAACGCACCTCGCTGTGAGCAGGATTTGAACTCACAACCTCAGAGCTAATAGGCTAGTGGTCACTGTAGATAAACTACTTTGACCACTCTGCCAAGGAGGTCCTGGGACACTTTAGAGTGAATTATGAATTATGCACAATTTATAGCATTTAGATAAAAGATTACAACCAATAATGATTTTTAACTAAATCACCTAGTGTGTACTGTTTAAACTCTGTCTGGGAGGAAAAATTGGTATACATGTATATTGAACGTTTATAAAATAAATTATGGAATAAAAGGATTATATTATAGATAAGATGTATACATGTATATTGAGGGTTTATAAAATAATTTTGGGAATAAAAGTGATTATACCATAACTAAAAGAACAGATGACAATAAAATGCTCCGCAGGGCGCAGCTTGATACGACCGCAGAGGTCGAACCCTGAACAGTTGGGGCAAGTATGGACACAATATTCAAGCTTGATACAGCTTTGCATTTGGATTGTGATTAAATATTTGACACAGCATAGGTTTCTGACACAGAATGAATGTGGTCTAAGAACTTAAAAATTTTAAATTGGACATTCACCTATTATGGTCCAATATCCAAAATCTAAATACATGGTTAGATTCAGCATATCAAAGAACCCCAAGAATTTAATTTTTGATGAAATCAAACAAAGTTTAATTTTGGACCCTTTTGACCTCAATGTGGACAAAGTTGATAACGGGGCCCAAAAATCCAAAATCCAAATACATGGTTAGATTCAGCATATCAAAGAACCCCATATATTCAATTTTTGTTGAAATCAAACAAAGTTTAATTTTGGACCCCGATTTGGACCAACTTGAAAACTGGGCCCATAATCAAAAATCTAAATACATGTTTAGATTCAGCATATCAAAGAACCTTAAGAATTCAATTTTTGTTAAAATCAAACTAAGTTTAATTTTGGACCCTTTGGACCTTAATGTAGACCAATTTGAAAACGGAACCAAAAATTAAGAATCTAAATACACGGTTAGATTTGGCATATCAAAGAACCCCAATAATTCAATTTTTGATGAAATCAAACAAAGTTTAATTTTGGACCCTTTGGACCTCAATGTGGACCAATTTAAAAACGGGGCCCAAAATCCAAAAACTAAATACACGGTTAGATTCAGCATATTAAAGAACCCCAAGAATTCAAGAATAAGACCCCATTGAAATTGGTCAAGAAATAAGCAATTTGTACGAAGTATCTTCTTTTGCACAATACTGTGCAATTAAATATTTCTTGCTATTGCGCAATACTGTACAATTGACAATTTCTTGCTATTGGGAAATATTGTGCTATTGGATATTTCTTGCTATTGCGCAATACTGTGCAATTGAAGATTTCTTGCTATTGCGCAATACTGTGCAATTGAAGATTTCTTGTTATTGTGCAATACTGTGCAATTGAAAATTTCTTGCTATTGCACAATACTTATTATATAATAATTTACACATCCTGTTTGGTGTGTATCTCCTACCATATCATTATTATTTGCTTTTAAATATAAATCAGAAATAACCAACTTAAAATGGAAAATTTTAAAAGAAAAAAAAAAGGAAAAAAAAAAATCCATCCCCCCAAATTTTTTGAACCCCCTTATGATTCATCACCCACAAACTCAATCTCAGCCTTCCCTTTGTGGTATGGTACCTTGCAGTACAATTTTAGAGAGATCCATACACTTGAACACAAGTTATTGTCTGGAAACTAGAAAAATGCTTGTTTTTTGGCCCCTTTTTTGCCCCAAATTCCTAAACATTTAGGGCAATTACCCCCAAATTCAAACCCAGCTTTCCCTTTGTGATATGGAACCTTGTAGTACAATTTCAGAAAGATCCATACACTTACACACAAGTTATTGTCCTGAAACTAGAAAAATGCTTGTTTTTTGCCCCTTTTTGGCCCCTAATTCCTAAAATATTGAGGCAATTACCCCCATCATCAAACCCAGCCTTCCCTTTGTCGTATGGTACCTTGCAGTACAATTTCAGAGAGATCCATACACTTGAACACAAGTTATTGTCTGGAAACTAGAAAAATGCTTATTTTTGGCCCCTTTTTGGCCCCCAATTCCTAAACATTTCGGCAATTACCCCCAAACTCAATTCCAGCTTTCCCTTTGTGATATGGAACCTTGTAGTACAATTTCAGAAAGATCCATACACTTACACACAAGTTATTGTCATGAAACTAGAAAAATGCTTGTTTTTTGCCCCTTTTTTGGCCCCTAATTCCTAAAATTTTGAGGCAATTACCCCAAAAATCAATCCCAGCATTCCTTTTGTGATATGGAACCTTATGGTACAATGTCAGA